TATTTTACAAATCTTTTATTGAGTCTGTTTTAACGTTCTGTATTATTGGCTGGTATGGAAACCTCACTGTGCAGAACAAAAAAACACCTTTCTGACATTGTCATGGTAGCCAGCAAGATAATTGGCACACAGCAGCTTTCTCTGTCAGATATCTACAACCGACAAGTCTATAGGAAGGCACAGTCGATCTTGGCCAGCACTGACCACCCACTTTTAGGAGAATTTTTTCTTCTTCTTTCTGGCCGGCGTTACAGGCTCCCCAAGGTTAGAAGCAATAGGTTTAAATTTTCTTTTATTCCAAGTGCAATAAATGTTCTTAATTTGCCTTAGTCTTGATGGACTCAATTTGCCTGCACTGTTTATAAGCACTCCATATGGTCTTATTCCCTTATAGATTTTTTTTTATGGACAGCTTGATCTGATCTATTTTATTCATGGTTGTTGTGGTTGTGATTGTTGTTGACATTGTCTTGATTGTCCCTTGTATGTTGAATTGCACTGCAAACTAAATTTCCCCTTGAGGGAGTAATATTAGTAGCAGTAGTAGTTGCAGCAGCAGTAGTAGTAGTAGCAGTAGTAGTAGCAGCAGCCGTAGTAGTAGTAGTATTAACAGCAGTAGTAGCAGTAGCAGTACCAGTAGTAGTAGCAGCAGTAGCAGTAGTAGCAGTAGTACTAGCAGTAGTAGTAATTACTGTTAATTTATTATGCTGATCTGTTCTGTACGACATCTATTACACGTCTGTCCGTCCTGGAAGAGGGATCCCTCCTCAGTTGCTCTTCCTGAGGTTTCTACCGGTTTTTTCCCTGTTAAAGGGTTTTTCTGGGGGGGAGTTGTTCCTTATCTGCTGCGAGGGTCATAAGGACAGAGGGATGTCGTATATGCTGTAAAGCCCTGTGAGGCAAATTGTGATTTGTGATATTGGGCTTTATAAATAAAATTGATTGATTGATTGATATCAGTAGCAGTAGCAGCAGCAGTAGTAGCAGTAGCAGCAGTAGCAGTAGCAGTAGTAGCAGTAGTACTAGCAGCAGTAGCAGCAGTAGTAGTAGTAGCAGTAGCAGCAGCAATAGCAGTTGCAGCAGCAGTAGTAGTAGCAGTAGCAGCAGTAGTAGAAGTAGTAGTAACAGTAGCAGTAGCAGCAGCAGCAGCAGTAGTAGTAGTAGTAGTAGTAGCAGCAGCAGTAGTAGTAGCAGTAGTAGTAGTAGAAGCAGCAGTGGTAGCAGTAGTAGCGGTATAGTAGCAGTAGCAGTAGTAGCAGTATAGTAGTAGAAGCAGTAGTAGCAGTATAGTAGTAGTAGCAGTAGTAGCAGAAGTAGTAGTAGCAGGAGCAGTATAGTAACAGTAGTAGTAGTAGTAGCAGCAGTAGTAATAGCAGCAGCAGCAGCAGTAGTAGTAGTAGTAGTAGCAGCAGCAGTAGTAGTAGCAGTAGTAGTAACAGTAGTAGCAGCAGCAGCAGCAGCAGCAATAGCAGTAGTAGTAGCAGTAGTAACAGTAGTAGCAGTAGCAGTAGCAGGAGTAGTAGTAGTAGTAGCAGTAGTAATATTAGCAGCAGTAGTAGTTTGCAGCAGCAGTAGTAGTAGCAGCAGCAGCAGCAGCAGCAGTGGTCGTAGTAATATTAGCAGCAGTAGTAGTTGCAGCAACAGTACTAGTAGCAGCAGCAGCAGCAGTAGTAGTTGTAGTAGTAGCAGCAGTAGTAGCAGCAGCAGGAGTAGTAGCAGCAGCAGCAGTAGCAGCAGTAGTAGCAGTAGTAGCAGCAGCAGCAGTAGTAGCAGTAGCAGTAGATGTAGCAGTAGCAGGAGTAGTAGCAGTCGTAGCTGTATAGCAGTAGTAGTAGCAGCAGCAGTAGTAGCAGCAGTAGCAGCAGTAGTAGTAACAGTAGCAGCAGCAGTAGTAGCAGTAGCAGTAGTAGTAGTAGCAGTAGTAGCAGCAGTAGCAGCAGCAGTAGTAGTAACAGTAGCAGCAACAGTAGTAGCAGTAGCAGTAGTTGTAGCAGCAGTAGTAGTAACAGTAGCAGCAGCAGTAGCAGTGATAGCAGTAGTACTAGCAGTAGCAGCAGCAGTAGTAGTAGTAGTAGCAGTAGTAGCAGCAATAGTAGTTGCAGCAGCAGTAGTAGTAGCAGTAGCAGTAGTATCAGTAGTACTAGCAGTAGTAGTAGTAGTAGTAGTAACAGTAGCAGTAGCAGCAGCAGTAGTAGTAGTAGCAGCAGCAGTAGTAGTAGCAGTAGTAGCAGTAGTATTAGTAGCAGTAGTAGCGGTAGTAGCAGTGTAGTAGTAGTAACAGTAGTAGCAGTATAGTAGCAGTAGTAGTAGCAGCAGTAGCAGTAGTAGCAGTAGTCGCAGTATAGTAGCAGTAGTCGCAGTAGTAGCAGTATAGTAGTAGTAGTAGCAGTAGCAGCAGCAGCAGTAATAGTAGTAGTAGTAGCAGTAGCAGTAGTAGCAGCAGTAGCAGTAGTACTAGCAGTAGTAGCCGTAGTAGTAACAGTAGCAGCAGCAGTAGTAGCAGTAGTAGTAGTAGTAGTAGTAGCAGTAGCAGTAGTAGTAGCAGCAGTAGCAGTAGTAGTAGTAACAGTAGCAGCAGCAGTAGCAGCAGTAGCAGTAGTAGTAGCAGCAATAGCAGTAGTAGTAACAGTATCAGCAGCAGTAGCAGCAGTAATAGTAGTTGCAGCGGCAGTAGTAGTAGCAGCAGCAGCAGCAGCAGCAGTAGTAGTAGCAGTCGTAATAGCAGAAGTAGTAGTAGCAGCAGCAGGAGTAGTAGTTGCAGCAGCAGCAGTAGTAGCAGTAGTAGCAGCAGTAGTAGCAGTAGCAGCAGTAGTAACAGTAGCAGCAACAGTAGTAGCAGTAGCAGCAGTAGCAGTAGTAGTAGTAGCAGTAGCAGCAGTAGCAGTAGTAGTAACAGTAGCAGCAGCAGTAGCAGCAGTAGCAGTAGCAGTAGCATTAGTAGCAGTAGTACTAGCAGTAGCAGCAGCAGTAGTAGTAGTAGTAGCAGTAGCAGCAGCAATAGTAGTTGCAGCAGTAGTAGTAGCAGTAACAGCAATAGCAGTAGTAGAAGCAGCAATAGCAGTAGTATCAGTAGTACTAGCAGTAGTAGTAACAGTAGCAGTTGCAGCAGCAGTAGTAGTAGCAGTAGCAGTAGTAGTAGCATTAGTAGCAGTATAGTAGCAGTAGTAGCAGTAGTAGTAGCAGCAGTAGTAGTAGCAGTAGTAGCGGTCGTAGCAGTGTAGTAGTAGTAGCAGTAGTAGCAGTATAGTAGTAGTAGCAGTATAGTAGCAGTAGTAGCAGTAGTAGCAGTATAGTAGCAGTAGTCGCGGTAGTAACAGTATAGTATTAGTAGCAGTAGCAGCAGCAGTAGCAGTATTGTAGTAGTAGTAGTAGTTGTATAGTACCAGTAGTAGTAATAGCAGTAGTAGTAGAATTTGTAGAGACGGCGTGTGACTGCTGAAAATAAAACAGGAGTATTAAGATGACTAATCAAAAGAGAGGTTATCATTTATGTGTGACCTCCTGGTCAGCTCGTCGACCATCAAACCTTGAATCACTGGAGTCTATCCCAGCATGCACTGGGTGACAGGTGTAGCACACCTGGGTAGGTCACCATCTGATCAGAGTTCAAACACACTCAGAGTTTCTGTGGCTGTTTAAATTCTGGGAACGTGATAGAAATAAATTCAGCAAATGCGCAGCTTATGATAAATGTTTTTAGTCTTTTTCAGGCTGTTTTCAGGAAGTGATTTTGTTACCGCGATGTGCTCCAGTGTTCCCAGAGTGCTTTGTGTTTGCCTCAGCAGCCGTCTTTGTATTTCTTAAATCAACTTGTCGACTCAGCAATGAGTTTGTAGGTCAGCGAACAAACAGAGCGTCGCCATGCCAACTGGCTTTAGTTGCTCTGTTTCTCCTCGACCTGCAAAGGTTTGACTTCACCAACATCAGCAGCCACTCGGTCCAGCAGTCAGGTATCAGAATGGGACAGAGGAGGAAGCGGAGGAGCCTCTTAGTCTGCCGGCCGTCTGCAGACAAAGAGCTGGGTGTTGGGTTTCTACATCACTCTGACTGCCTTTGTCAAAGCGTAAAAGCCTGATCCTGATCTCTGAAAATCAGAATCAGCTGAGCAGGAAGCTTCAAACACCCCTGACCACTGACATGATGTCACTGTTAGTGAAGTCAAACATGAACAGTTTGTTCTTGATCAGGGAGGTTCCTCCTTTGAGGAGCATGACGCCGACCAGGTGTTTACAAATCTGAAGGTATCAAGAAACGACAATGATGATGATGATATGTTGTCATGTTGACAAACATCATTGTTTAATGATGAAGCTAAAAGAAGGCAAAATGCAAATAAATTATAGAAAGTTGGCAAAAACATGTTTTTTATACAAAGAAGCAAAAACTGCTGACAAATATTCAGTGGTTTTGTTTCAACAGTTAATTTAACAAAATTCTCACAGCTCGTTAACAGACAGGTTTCATGAATTCACTCACAGCTCGTTAACAGACAGGTTTCATGAATTCACTCACAGCTCGTTAACTGACACATTGTCACGTGTCCTGTACATTTACTCGTTGCTTGTTTGTACCTCAGTGAACGAATTTCGATCTCCTGTGTCGACTGTCTTTGGCTTTCTAAGTCTAAGTCTCTGCCGGGAAACATCAACATTCAACTAATTATAATATATGATAATGATGAAGATGATAAAGATGATGATGATGATAATGGTGATGATGATGAAGATGATGATGTTTGACTACATTTCTTTCAAGTAACTGAACAATGTCAGTGATTTTTACACAGGTTGAACCTCAACAACAGAAACAGACAGACAGATGAACGGACAGACAGATGGATGAACGGACAGACAGACAGACAGACAGACAGATAAATGGACAGACAGAGCTGTCGACGTAGAAAGTTGCAGGAGTTGTTGCATAGAATATTCTCGGGTGGTTCCAATGTGGAAAAGAGTCTCTCCCGATAAGAAACACGTTTCGTCACTAAACATAAATATTTGATCTTTAAAAGTGCTGAACTGGTATTTTTCTGCAGGAAGCAGGAAGCATTTCTGGTGTCTTTATGAGTCCTTACGAGCAGCCACACTCCTCCACAATCATGTTCTGGATGTCTTTCTTGATGATCTTCTGCTCTTCATTGTAGTACAGCATTGACATAGCGCGCAGCCGGGTTGGCACGCAGCACGACTTGATGTTTTGAAAAGGGCTGTAGCCCCTCATACGATAATGATTGATGACCGTGGAATGGAAGGACAGGGATGACCCGCTGAAGCTAGCCATGTGGTTTGGACAGTCACCCTCGCAGTAGTTGGCATGGTAACCGGATGGAGCAATAATCCAGTCATTCCAGCCAATATCTTTGAAGTTCACGTAAAACTGTCGTTTGCAGCAGACACGTATTTTCCCGTCACACTCCAAGCCTCGTTTGACTCGTCGCTGAGTCGCCTCCTCTCCAGCTCGCAGCGCCACCATGAGGAATGGGCGGTGAGACTGGTCCTGCCCACTGACATGCTTATCGACAGCTGGCACCAGGATGGGCGAGACTCCAGCCTCGGCACATAGTGGGCAGGAGACCCGCAGATGGAGCGAGCTACCACCGCCATCCAGCAGAGTCTGAATGCTGCGGGAGACAACTAGGGTGTGCCAGCCGCTGCGACGAGTATCCACCATCTTTTCTGAAACACACTCCTCCTCATCATCATCATTCTCACGATGAAGCTGCAGCAGCCGCAGTGTCACTTTGCCTTTAACTCGGTTTCCCTTCAACATCTTCAGGAAGATCCAGACGTTCGCCTGCTCCACCACCGACGAGCTGCTGCCCTCCTTCGAAATGTCAAAGGTCACCGTGTCCAGAGAATCTCCTGCCGCAGAGAGCAAAGTTAGCATGTTAGTAGGAATTAGCCAAACCCATCAGTCTAAATATTAGAAACATTGACAACAAAGAAGACACTGTTTTTATTAACTCGTCTGTCTGTGCAGCAGAAACACACTGACACTACACAATCAGACACAACAGAAAATATACAATGACCAGAATGCACTGCCCCACACCAGACCAATAAACACTCCTGCTGGTGGCTAAAGCTCAGCCATGTTCAAACAGGAAACATTATGGCGGCTGCTCGTAAGAAAAATATGTTTCTAAAGATGTGCGAGGTGAGAAACAACCAACACAATCTTGGTTTATATTCGATCAGCACCAGCTGGATCTCAGTCTGAGGAAAAAGGGGCGAGGCTTACAATAGAATGACTATATAAACTCTGTGTGTGTGTCTGTTCCACGTTTTTCTCCTCACTGACTTCGTCAATCCATGTGAAATTTGGCACAGTGGTAGAGGGTCATGGGAGGATACCAATGAAGCAATATTACATCAATTGGCCAAAGGGGGGTGCTATAGCAGCTGATTGAAATGTCAAACTTTGAATGGGCATATCTCATGCCCCGTATGTCGTAGAGACATGAAACTTTGCACAGAGATGCCTCTCCTCATGAGGAACACATTTGCCTCAAGAACCCATAACTTCCGCTTATATAGATTTTCCGCCATTTTGAATTTTTTGAAAAACACTTCAAATGGATCTCTTCCAGTTTGAGCGATCTGCATGAAACTGGGTGAACATAATCTAGGGACCAATATCTAAAGTTCCCTCTTGGCAAAAGTTGGAAAACTGTATCCCAAACACACACCATGTGAAACTGTACGTGGGCGACTGCGCACTCAATGGGTATGGACTAGTTTCTCTTTGATTAGTTGAAGTTTAAAATAAATTTAAACCTGAGTAAAAAAAATCGAAACGTTCTGACCCCAGGAAAAAGTGAAAAGCAATTAACTTTTCTGTGTCAGAAGCTAATTAATTCTCCATTATAAATGTTACTTGAATGAATGAATAAATAAAATGTCATTAACAGTAACAATAAAAGCATGAATGGAGCCGCGGCCTCTAAATATACTCAATATGAGCAGAGACACTAAAAAAAGAAAAGACCTGGTTTCAGGGAATGTTGTCAACAAAGACACACACACACACTCGTTACTGCTGCAGAATAATTACTGAGGCCCAGATTTGTCTGAATGAAGACATTATTTACGGCCTGAGACCACTTGGTATGTCTCCCCTCCCCCTCCTCGTTACTGTCCTCTAATTTCGGCGAGCGTTTGAGGGACATTTTCACAGAGATGACTATTTATAGCACAAAGCTGCTCTGTACATTTATATAAGAAAACAAGTCACAGGACACTGTGATTGGTCACGAGCTGGTTCACGTTTATGAACACAGAAACTTAGAAACAGTTTGTTTTTAGTATCTGAGATGAAACGATTCATGTTGATGAGACTGAAACTGAAGTTAAAATCTGTTCTTGAGACCAAATCAGAGCCACAAATAAAAGCTCCTCAGAGAATCACCACTTGGACTTGGTGGAGGGGTTTGTAAGTCCCTGTGATCCTGAGAGCTGTTGTCTGGGGCTAAGAGCTCCTGGCAGGGTCTTCCAAGGCAAAGTGGTTGCAGGGGTGGGGCCAGACAAAGAGTGATTCAAGAAGACGCCAATTTTATGGTGCAATTAGACTTTGAGTACCTTGCCCAGTAGGGGGACACCCAGTATGGAGTCTGTGGGGGTGTTCCGGAAAGGGAACCGACCAGAGACTCCATAGGTCTTCTTGGTGATTTCAATGTTCACATGGGCAACAATGGTGATGTGATCTAGACTGCTGGACAGACCTGGTAAACCCCAACGTGTAGTGAGGGTGAACTGGGAATGTCTGGCTGAGGCCCCTGTCCGTGGGGTCTTCAAGTCCCACCTTCAACTTTTTGTGCATCCTGGGGGAGGTTGGGGACATGGAATCTGAGAGGTCCATGTTCAAAGCCTCTGTTGTGGAGGTGGCTGCTAGAAGCTGTGGTCAGAAGGTTGTCGTGGTGGCAACCTAAGAACCAGCTAGTGGAGACCAAAGGTGAGGGTGGCCGTCAGGCTGAAAAAGCAGGCCTTTTGGGGTCGTCTCTGGTTCTGTTTGTGATATTCATGGACAGGATCTCGAGATGCAGCTGGGGGGAGGACGGAGTCCAGTTTGGGGCCCTCAGAATTTCATTTCTGCTTTTTGCAGATGATGTGGTTCTGTTGGCTTCATCACACTGTGACTTCCAGCATGACCTGGGGTGGTCTGCAGTGTCAGCTCCTCCAGTCTGAGGTTATGATTCTCTACTGGAGAATGGTAGATTGTTCCCTCTGGGTTGGGAGAGAGTTGAGAGACTGTCCCAAGAGATGGAGGTAAGGTATCTCAGGGTCTTGTTCACTGTGAGTGTGTAAGTTAGCTATGTTTTCTGATTTATTTCCATATTCATACCTCTTCTACTTCTACAGTAATAGGGCCTTTTCTGAGTTTTGGGATTGCAATGTATTAAGTGCGGATCTAGCAATGAATAGTTTGTTCCAACTTTCTTTAGACAAGGTTAATTTATGCTCAGATTCAAAATCTTACAGCTTGAATTCAGATCTTCTCTGTTCTTTAATTATTTTCTTCTTTCTGGCAGTACAATAGGATATCATCATACCCCTCAAATAGGCTTTTGTAGTTTCCCATAAGTTTGAGGGATCAGTTTCCCCATTATCATTTATTTCTAAAAATTCCAAAAGTTTAATTTTTGCCATACCACAAAATTCAGGGTCTGACAATATTGACCAGGGATGTTGGTGTTTATTAGATATAGTAATAAATGTCTCTATTGAAATCGGGGCATGATCTGATATATGAATATTCCCAATACTGCTACTTGATACAAGCTCTATACACATTTTAGATACCAAAAAGAAATCAGTTCTAGAATACATTTCATCTGATCAATACCTTCATCTTTAAATCTGGCTTTGACCATCACCATCATCTTCAGTTCACATTAACAGCAGCACAAACTGTGACAAACTGTGTTGTTAGTCTCTCTGACTGTTAAACTGGATTTATGAAGAGTTCAATCTGCTCCAGGTCTGTGGAGAAAATCTAGATGCTCAAAGTTGTTATAATCTCCAGTGAACTTGTTTTAATATTAATTCATGTGTCAGAAATTCACCTTCAGAAAAAAAGGAAAATGGGACATAAAAATATAATGTAGGCTCCGAGAGGCTGAAAAGAGTCAATAAATCAGAGAGAGCGTCGGGCTGAAGAAATCTGTAAACAGACTTTGAACTCTGCAGATTTTTGTGAATGGGCTGATAACAGACAGACAGACACACACACACACAGACATCTCTAATGCAGCTGATGGTCAGTAAACTTTACTCTTCCTGCTGAGCGTGTCTCCTCAGAGTTACTCAGGCTTCACATTGATACATTCATTTGAATCTTTTTTTTTTTTTAACAAACTCTGAGGTGTGTCTGTGTGTCAGAGATGCCTAATGATCAACCAATCAGATTGCTGGATGCTCAGATTCAGGAGGTATGACCTACAATAACCTGCAGTAGTCCCCTGAAGGTTGACGTATGGGAGCAGGAGAAAAACTCTCCATGTTTCTGATTGGCTGTCAGACTCACCTGGCTCTGCGAAGGTGATGATTTCAGACGGTGGTTCAGGTGGTGTATAGGCTCCAGGGCCCTGGCCCTCTTCCTGGATCTCTACGCTGCCGTCTTCAGCCACACGGGCTACGTGCAGCTTTTTGATGGCATTGAGCAACGCAGCGCGAGGAACTGGCTGTGTCAGGTTGGGCCGAGTGCTCAGGTGCAGCATATTGAGAATGTGACGCTTCACCGCCTCCACCATGTCGCTCTGTCCTCCTGACGAAGTAGAGTTCCTCCTGATCTGAAGCAGTGAGCAAGATGGACAGTCCAGGGGTGGTGCCCCCTCCTGGAGCCGAGACACCACATTGTCCTCCAGAGTCGGAGGGACCGTCGGAGAGGCGTCGATGAAATATCCGACGGCCACAAATAAGAAGGCAGAAAACAGCAAGCACATAATGAGCTCTGACACCAACAGTAGAGTCAATAGAGACAGTAGAGTCCAGTAGAATCAGTAGAGTCCAGTAGAGTCAGTAGAGTCCAGTAGAGTCAGTAGAGACAGTAGAGACAGAAGAGTCAGTAGAGTCAGTAGAATCAGTAGGGTCCAGTAAAGTCAGTAGAGACAGCAGAGTCCAGTAGAGTCAGTAGAGTCCAGTTGAGTCAGTAGAGACAGAAGAGTCCAGTAGAGTCAGTAGAGTCCAGTTGAGTCAGTAGAGACAGCAGAGTCCAGTAGAGTCAGTAGAGTCAGTAGAGACAGTAGTCAGTAGAGTCCAGTAGAGTCAGTAGAGGCAGCAGAGTCCAGTAGAGACAGTAGTCAGTAGAGTCCAGTAGAGTCAGTAGAGGCAGCAGAGTCCAGTAGAGACAGTAGAATCAGTAGAGTCAGTAGAGACAGTAGAGTCCAGTTGAGTCAGTAGAGACAGCAGAGTCCAGTAGAGTCAGTAGAGACAATAGAATCAGTAGAGTCAGTAGAGTCCAGAACAGTCAGTAGAGGCAGTAGAGTCAGTACAGTAGAGTCCAGAAGAGTACTGAATAGTTCAAGATCCTTCAGAGCTCACAGACTCAGTGGAGTCCAGCATTAGAGTCATCAGAGTCTCTGTGATGTCGAGTTCAGCAGACTTTAGGTCTTTGAACGAGGCCTGATCCTGGTCCTGATGGTTCGTTGGTCTGAGCTGAATGAACACTGTGCGCAGGGTCACTCTACTCTCCCTCTGCTCTGTTACTGTAATTATACCTCTCTGTCTGTTTAATCCCTCCCTCCATCCACAGAGGTATTCCCTGTGATTCACACACACACACACACACACACACTGACACAAAGTGTGAGTAAAGTCTCTCAGAATATCTCAGGACTGTTTGTGGTGTTTCCTCCTGAAAGAACGTCACGACAGAAGAGGAGGAGGAAGGAGGGAAGAGGAGGAAGAGAGTGTCCCTGAATCATTCATACCACACACACACACACACACACACACACACACACACACACACACACTGATGACTCAGCACAGCATCATCATCACCTCACGTGGAGGAGAAACTCCGTCGGTGTGAAATAAATTTTTAGAAGAGTTTGTTGTTATTATCAGAGTCCTGCACACAGCAGATGGAGCGTGCTCAGAACAGACCGTCTCTTTCTCTCTCTCTCACACACACACACACACACACACACACACACACACAGTGACATCAGCACGCCCTCTGCTGATGGGAGTCAGGTGTTACAGCGTCTTCCTCATCTCAACTTTCCTTTGATGCACCTTTTGTCGTCCTGTCTGTCCCAGAGATGACACAGACCTGTATTCACCCACACACACACACACACACACATACACACACACACACAAGGCAGGGCAAGGCAAGGCAAGTTTATTTGTATGGCACATTTCAGCAACGAGGCAATTCAAAGTGCTTTACATAAAACATACATCAAGTAAAAGCAATAAAGGCAACATAAAAAGACATTAAATACAATCAGAAAGAATTACATTGAAAATAAAATAGTGCAATTAATCAAAAAGAGTCTAGTTAGAAAGAAACAAAACGCTAAAACAGAATAAGTTACAGTGCAGTGTGAGATAATAATCAGAAGCCTCAAGTTTGATTTAGTAAAAGGCAGCGGCAAACATAAAAGTCTTCAGCTCTGATTTAAAAGAACTGAGAGTTGCAGCAGACCTGCAGTTTTCTGGGAGTTTGTTCCAGGTATGTGGAGCATAAAAACTGAATGCTGCTTCTCCATGTTTGGTTTTGACTCTGGGGACAGAAAGCAGACCTGTCCCAGACAACCTGAGAGGTCTGGATGGTTCATAACATAGCAGCAGATCAGAAATATATTTTGGCCCTAAACAATTCAGTGATTTATAAACCAACAACAGTATTTTAAAGTCAATTCTTTGACAGACAGGAAGCCAGTGTAAAGATCTGAGAAATGGAGTGATATGATTCACTTTCTTGGTCTTAGTGAGGACTCGAGCAGCAGCGTTCTGAATCAACTGCAGCTGTCTGATGGATTTTTTAGGGAGACCTGTGAAGACACTGTTACAGTAGTCGAGTCTACTAAAGATAAATGGATGGACAAGTTTTTCCAAATCCTACTGAGACATCAGTCCTTTAACCCTTCATATATTCTTCAGGTGATAGTCGGCTGATTTTTTTTAACTGTCTTAATGTGGCTGTTGAAATTCAGGTCTGAGTCCATGAGTACACCAAGATTTCTGGCTTGGTTTGTGCTTTTTAACATTACAGATTGAAGCTGAGGGCTGACTTTTAATTGTTCTTCTTTGGCTCCAAAACCAATTACTTCAGTTTTATCTTTGTTCAGTTGAAGATAATTCTGGCACATCCAATCATTGATTTGTTTGATGCATTTACTCAATGCTTGTATTGGACCATACTCCCCAGGTGATATGGTTATGTAGATCTGTGTGTCGTCTACATAATTATGGGAAGATAACTTGTTGTTTTCCATAATTTGAGCCAGTGGGAGCATGTAGATGTTGAACAGAAGGGGCCCCAGAATGGAGCCTTGTGGAACTCCACGTCATTTTCATCCGCTCAGATGTGTAATTTCCCATAGACACAAAGTAGTCTCTGTCCTTTAAGTAGGATTCAAACCAGTTTAGTACAGTTCCAGAAAGTCCCACCCAGTTTTTCAGTTGGTCTAGTAATATGGTGTGGTCGACTGTGTCGAATGCTGCACTAAGATCCAGTAACACTAAAACTGAAATTCTGCCCATGTCTGTGTTCAAGTAGATGTCACTGAAGACCTTAACAAGAGCAGTCTCAGTGCTATGGTGTGGTCGAAATCCTGACTGGAAGACGTCAAAACAGTTTAGAGTCAAGAACTTGTTTAGCTGTTGAAAAGCAGCTTTTTCAATGATTTTACTTGATATGGGCCTATAATTGTTCATTACTGAAGTGTCTAGATTGTTCTTTTTAAGAGTGGTTTGATGACGCCAGTTTTCAGGGCCTGTGGAAAGACACCTGAGAGAAGAGATGTGTTGATAATCTGTAGAAGATCTGAGGCCATGCAGTTAGAGACTGTTTTGAAAAGGCCTGTTGGCAGAATATCAAGGCAGCAGGAGAAGGATTTCAGATGTTGTATAATGTCCTCCAGGTTTTTAAAGTTGATCAGATAAAATTGTGTCATATCACTTGAATGGTCTTAAGTGGACACAGGGACAACACATATCCTGTGCCTGATATGGAGGCACTGACTGCTTGTTTAATTTTCTGGATTTTGTCAGTGAAGGAGGCAATTCACTGCAGAAGTTCAGGGGCTACTGACACAGGAGGGTTTGTTAGCTTGTCGACTGTAGCAAATAAGGCACGTGCATTATTATTGTTGTTGGTGATGATGTCAGAGAAGAAGGACCACCTTGTATTTCTCAGTTCCAAATTATAAATGCGAAGTCTATCTTTATAGATCCCATACTGAACCTGAAGATTTGTTTTTCGCCACAGCTTTTCGATGGCTTTTTCTATTCTGACCAGTGTGGCACTTCTCCATGGAGATCTTTTCTTACCAGAGACCACCTTCAACTTAATGGGTGCAACGGCATCAATCACATTTGTAATTCTAGAACTGAAATCTTCTACAAGCTCATTGACTGAGACCTGTGAGAGAGTAGTGAGGAAGGGAAAGTCTGAATAAATATTTCACTGGTGTTATCAGTGATATACTGTTTGGTGATTATCTCTATTTGAATATTAGTGTGTACTGAGATAGCACTCTCAAAAAACAATCAGGAATGATCAGAGAGAGCAACATCAGTTACAGCGACATTAGAAATATTCAGACCCTAGGAGATGATTACGTTCAGAGTGTGCCCCTTATTGTGTGTGAACTCAGTCCATAGTTATCAAGGACACAACACAGTTTTTTAGTGCCTCTGTCCTGGGGGTTGTCAACATGGATGTTAAAATCACCAACAATAACTACACAGTCAAAGTCGAAACAGACTATGAACAGCAGCTCAGCAAAGTCATCAAAAAAGTTTGCACAGTAGGCCTACTTAACTGGCCTCTAGATGTTAAGGAACATCGCTTGAGCAGAGGAATTCAATTTAAGAGCCACATATGCAAAAGACTCAAAACTACCATAGTACATCTACTTACATTGGAGGGAATTATTAAACAAAATGGCAACTCCACCACCTTTCTTATGCATTCTGGCTTCACTCATAAAACTGAAGTTCGGAGGGGCTGACTCAATAAGAACAGCTGCACTGTTATCTTGGTCTAACCAAGTTTCAGTTAAAAACATAAAATTAAGACCATGCTTGATGATAAAATCTTTGAATAAAAATGTTTTTCCTGCTAAAGACCTGACATTTAATAAAGCTGAATATGGTGAGACTGCGTACACACATAAGGCTGTGTACACACAAAAGACTGCGTACAAACATAAGACTGTGTACACACAGGAGTTTCAACTGAGTCTGATGAACTCCACATTAAATCAGAAACTGAGTCTGATGAAGTCCACATCAAATCATAAACTGAGTTTGATGAACTCCACATTAAATCATAAACTAAGTCTGATGAACTCCACATTAAATCATAAACTGAGTCTGATGAACTCCACATTAAATAATGACCTGAGTCTAATGAACTCCACATTAAATCATGAACTGAGTCTGATGAACTCCACATTAAATCATAAACTGAGTTTGATGAACTCCACATTAAATCATAAACTAAGTCTGATGAACTCCACATTAAATCATAAACTGAGTCTGATGAACTCCACATTAAATAATGACCTGAGTCTAATGAACTCCACATTAAATCATGAACTGAGTCTGATGAACTCCACATTAAATCATAAACTGAGTTTGATGAACTCCACATTAAATCATAAACTAAGTCTGATGAACTCCACATTAAATCATAAACTGAGTCTGATGAACTCCACATTAAATAATGACCTGAGTCTAATGAACTCCACATTAAATCATGAACTGAGTCTGATGAACTCCACATTAAATCATAAACTGAGTTTGATGAACTCCACATTAAATCATAAACTAAGTCTGATGAA